GCGTGGCGCTGTGGTGGTGTTGATGGTGGCACTGGTGGCACTGGTGGCGGTGGGGACAGGGACACTGGTGGCACTGGTGGTGATGGTGGCACTGGTGGTGATGGGGACAGGGACACTGGTGGCACTGGTGGTGACGGTGGCACTGGTGATGCTGGTGGTGGTGACACTGGTGGCACTGGGGGGGGGGGGGTGGGGGGGGGAGGGGCACTGGGGGCGCGGGCGCTGGTGGTGATGGTGACACTGGTGGCACTGGTGATGGTGACAGTGGTGGCAGTGGGGGCAGGGACACTGGTGGCACTGGTGGAGGTGGCAGTGACAGTGACACTGGTGACACTGGTGGCACTGGTGATGGTGACACTGGTGATGGTGGTAACGGTGACACTGGTGGCAGTGGGGACAGGTACACTGGTGACACTGGTGGCACTGGTGATGGTGGTGACGGGGACACTGGTGGAAGGGGGGACAGGGACACTGGTGGCACTGGTGGTGACAGTGGTGGCAGGGATGGTGGCACTGGTGGCACTGGTGGTGGTGGTGATGGTGACAGTGGTGGCAGGGGACAGTGACACTGGTGGTCGTGGCACTGGTGGCAGGGATGGTGACACTGGTGGCACTGGTGATGGTGGCAGTGGTGGCAGTGGTGGCCGTGGTGACGGTGATGGCGGTGACAGCGGTGGCCATAGCAGTGGTGGCAGTGACAGTGACACTGGTGGCACTGGTGGTGGCGGTGATGGTGACACTGGTGGCAGCGGGGACGGTGACACTGGTGGCCGTGGCACTGGTGGCACCGGTGATGGTGGTGATGACAGCGGTGGCAGTGACAGTGACACTGGTGGCACTGGTGGCAGTGGGGACAGTGACTGTGGCAGTGGTGACGCAGGGTGGTGGCCATGGCGCTGGTGGCAGTGGCGATGGTGATGGTGGCAGCGGTGGCAGCGGTGGCCGTGGTGATGGTGATGGTGGTGACAGTGGGGATGGTGGCCATGGTGACGGTGGCGGTGGTGGCCATGGTGATGGTGACAGTGGTGATGGGGAGGTGTGACAGCGGTGACAGGGGCGATGGCGGTGGCTGTGGATGGTGACAGGGGAGGTGACAATGGTGCTGGCGGCGACGCTGGTGGCAGTTGGTGACGTTGTGGGTGATGGCAGTGGTGGCACGTGGCCGGTCCCCCCATGCCGTGATGGTACTGGTGACGCTGGTGGCAGTGGGGATGGTGACAGCGGTGGTGGTGGCAGCAATGGCGACAGTGGTGGTGGTGACAGTGGTGATGACAGTGGTGGCAACAGTGGCAGTGGTGGCAGTGGTGACAGTGGATGGTGGCAGTGGTGGCAGGGGTGACGGTGGCAGTGGGGGGTGGCAGTGGTGACGCTGGTCACGGTGACAGTGGTGGTGACAGTGGTGACAGCGGATGGTGGCAGTGATGACAGCGGCAATGGTGGCAGTGGTGGCAGCGGTGGTGGCAGTGGGGGCAGTGGTGATGGTGACAGTGGCGATGCTGGTGACGGTGGCAGTGGTGACAGTGGCGGTGGTGACCGTGACAGTGGTGGCAGGGGTGGCACGTGGCCGGTCCCCCGACTGCTGGTGGCAGTGGTGGTGACAGTGGCGGTGGTGGCAGTGGTGATGGTGGCAGTGGTGACGGTGACAGTGGTGACGGTGGCAGTGGTGGCAGTGGGGATGGTGGCAGTGGTGACGGTGACAGTGGCAGTGGTGGCAGTGGTGACGGTGGTGACAGTGGGTGGTGGCAGTGGTGACGGTGGTGACAGTGGCAGTGGTGACAGGGGCAGCGGTGGCAGCGCTGGTGGCAGTGGTGACGGTGACAGCGGCGGTGGTGACAGTGGTGGTGGTGGCAGTGGATGGTGGCAGTGGTGACGGTGACAGTGGCAGTGGTG